TGAATAAATCGAGCACTCGTCAGTAATTTACAATCGCCTGATGAGATGCGTTGATACGCATCGAAACACGACTGCAATTGTGTAGCAATTTTATATCCTAATACATATTTTCCGATTTCTTTTTGAATTTGTAGGTCTGATGAATTGGATCGTGATTACGATTCCAATGTAATAAATTATAACCATGGAAAATTAGTTCTTGAGCCTTTTATATCCATGACTAAAATTTATTTCCCCAGAAAACATTTTTGCTGGCTCATCAGGTCACATCTCTGGTTAGAAAGGTATTTAGTTGCTTTTATTTATAATACAAGTTTTTGAGGAATAGTTTTATATATATATATATATATATATATATATATATATATGTTTTCTGTGAAATAATTTTTAGTCATGAAACCTTAAGAAGGTTGTCTCTTTCTTAATTATTTTATGTATATATATATATATTTGGTTGGATAGATGTAAATAAATATGTTAGCTCTATCTCTGATATTGAGCGCTTTCTAATAAGTACTGCATATAATATATAAATAATTATACATACTTATATTTATTTATATTTATATACACTTTTCACATATATATATATATATATATATATATATATATATATATATATATATATATATATATATAATTAAGGATTTTTACTGACATTATCTTTATTAGTATAAACGTTATATTTTAATGCGTACACGTGTTTGAGATGTTATCCCTGTGTTTTATTTTACTAAACAGTGCAATTAATGAAACCACGCCTAAATGTATTAAATCTTATTTCGTCGAAATTCACAACTTAGGACGATTGTTATTCATTTTTACGGCGTGATAAAATAAAAAAATTCAACAGGAGTAACGAATGAAAAACGTGTACCCACTAAAAATATCATTTACTACAATAATAATAATAATAATAATAATAATAATAATAATACCCGGTTACGGAGATAGGACCTGTTACAATTCTATGGGACTACACAATACACACTGACGGAACAATCAAAGCCAACTGCCCAGTTATTGTTATTAAAGACCACAAACAAAAACGGTGCCTCCTTATTGATATGGCAGTCCCTGCTGACTGCAATGTATCTTTGAAGATATTCAAAAAGTTGTCAAAGTACAAGGACCTTGAAATAGAAATCTCGAAAATGTGGCATATGGGAACATCAACAATCCCTGTTGTAGTTGGAACCCTAGGACTGGTTGGAAAAGATTGCATTAGACTAATTGAAGGGATTCCTGGAAGTCCATGCCTCAAGGAGATACAAAAAATTGTTCTGACAAGTACAGCCCACACCTTACGAAGGGCTTTATCTATGTAATTTAATTTAATTCTTTTTTTTTTTTTTTTTTTTGTCAGTGGAAATTGTCATGACGCCATTTCTAACCTTAGGTCCCTGGGCGGGACCCGGAAAGAAATGTGTAAACCATAAAATCAAAGAAAATAAAATAATAATAATAATAATAATAATAATAATAATATGTGTATGTGTGTGTGTGTGTGTGTGTGTATGAATACGAAAGGGCCAGCTATATATATATATATATCTTCATATATATATATATATATATATATATATATATATATATATATGAAGAAATATCTTTTAAGGTGTGCTATCTTTATGGGATAAAATGCTCAATATCAGAGATAGAGCGTATGTATATATATATATATATATATATATATATATATATATATATATATATATATATATATATATATATAAATATATATATATATATATATACATATATATATATATATATAAGAAATATAGTTTTTTAAGATGTGCTATATTTATGGAATAAAGCGCTCAATATCAGTGTGTGTGTGTGTGTGTGTGTGTGTGTGTGTTATTAGACGTGTACCCATTAAAACACGTGTACCCATTAAAATAACGTTTAGAGTAATAATATATATATACACATAATCATATTCACCATATATTTAATAATATATATATATATATATATATTATTATTATTATTAAAAATAATAAAATATTTTATTAATGTATCTTATTAAAAATATTAGACATTTTGTGTCTGTTAAATATGTTGATCTTTTTTATAGTGTCCGAATAAGGTTTCGCACATGTGGCTGTTTTTGTGCATAAAACCATTTAAGAATCCCATTATTTTAAAAAGTGTTTTTTTTTAACTAAATCAAATGCGAAAAGCTAAATCCATTCCAATGTGCAGTTTAAAATAATCAATTTTGCTGCCCTAATATATCGAACATATATTTATACCAGGGTTTGTAGAATAGTTCAGATGTGGGACCATTAAATTCTGAGATTGAGATTTTCGGAAGTCAGTGAGACTATGAACTTTTCAACGCCCCCCCCCATGTGTGTGTGTGTGTGTTTCTCTGTGTGTGTATGTGTTTGTGTGTTTGTGTGTGTGTGTGCACACGAAAGTGACAAAATGAACTTGATTTGAAACACGTAACTGCGCACAACTTCTTATTCCCGAGGAATCTTTGCTTTGC